TACTCTATCAAATGCTTTTGCAAAATCAAAGTATACAACATGAACTTGTTTACGAGTATCAAGGGCTCTAGACCAGTCATTAAGGGAACTAAGAAGTGCAGTTACCGTGGATTTACCAGTACAAAAACCGTGCTGACATGGAGGAATAATGTTATTACGCATAAGAAATGTTGTCAGCTTTGATTTGACTATTTTCTCAAAAAGTCTGGAAAAAATAGAGGTAATACTTATTGCCAAAGAATTGGGAATATCCGCGGTATAAATAAGAAAGAGTATGGGGGACAATACTTATTGGACGATAATTGGAAGGATCACTGAAAGGAGGTTTTTTGGGTATGGGCACAACGAAGGAATGCCTCCACCGAGATGGAACTTCAGATCTCATATACGATAAATTGAAGAGGAGCTCCAGTGGAAAAGCTATATACTGTGCAATGTTCTTAATGAAATTGAAAGGTACGAGATCTGGTGTTATAGAGTAGGAACTAGGCCATTTTGACAGCAGTCGGTATATTTCATCCCTATGAAACCATAGTGATGGTTCCATAGAAGAAGTGCCTGATGGGAATTCGTCCAAAACAGTATCACTGTCTTCTGTGAAAACCTTCTGGAATGATTCAGCAAGTACCTCTGCCTTATCATGGTCAAGTATAATTATTTTGGCTTCATCGACACGTAATGCTGGTATCTTCTTTGTATCTTTGAGACGTTTGGTGATGTAGGTAAATAGCTTAGTGGGATCCTGTAGACTCAGTTACTTTCCTTTCTAAATATGTATTATACTTGACCATACATTTAGTGAGCTTCTTGTCAAAAACTTTATATCTATCCCAGTTTGCTTCACAATCATTTGAAACCGCATCCTTCCATAGGCGACTTCGTTAGAGAAATCATTCTCTCGAGATATTGCGGGATTTTGTAACGGGCGTTCTTCGACATGTGTACTAATGGAACAAAAATGTTTATAGCGTCGTTTAGTATAGCAAGGAATAGTTCGTATTTCCCATCTATGGTGTTTACAGTTGCAAAGGATCCAATCCAATCAATGTCGCTCAAATACCTACCAATAGCTTCAAAGTTGGCCTTGTTAAAATCTCTATCCATCTCCGTGAAGTCACATTTAGTGAGCTGACATTAAGGTCAAAAACAATGGATGCATGGTCACTGTTACCGATTGGAGCCTGCATTACTAACTCATTAATCAAATGATCATCATTACATAAAACAAGGTCAAGGTATGAGTTGCCATCGGGATGGATTTTTGACAAACTGTACAAAGTTGTGTGACCGAAACATATCAAGAAAATCTTTAGAAATGGAGTTGTAATCGGCACAGTGGCTATCAATATTCCAATCAATATCAGCTAGATTGAAATCGCCTACAATCAAGGAAGGTGCATTACTGCAGCTGAAGTCACTGATCACTTTCCGCAACAAACTGTTATGAGAATTACATATTGGGGCTCGATAGACTAGTATTAATCTAAAAGTCTGGTGGCGAACAATAAAATCAACTATGAGTATTTCGAATGCATCTTCTAGTGATTCTTTGAAAACAGTTTCGTAAGGGATAGTATTCTTAATCAGAGCAAGGACACCACCACCCCTTTTATTGAGACGGTCACAACGTATGACCTCATATTGTGAGCTTGCAATGCCTAGGAGGGGAGTAGTATCATGTTTCGACGAGGAAGGAAGGAGGTTCCTCTGTGAAGTGGTATTCATTGAATTCTGAGGAACATTACTCTGACTAACAAGCTCGGAATTATTACATTCTGCAGTATTTACTACTGTATTATTATTACAATCACCATTTTTCTGACGAGCCTCACGCCTACGTGCCCTTTCTTCTTTGGTAAGAGAAGGCCTAATATACACACCTTTCTGGGAGAAGTAACGTAATTGAGGTGCTCTCTTAATTGTTTCTGTCTGGAAACGTCTACTGGGAAGAACAACTTTCAAAAGTCTGGGCCTTGACCTACTCTTAATACCCATGCGGAAACCCATGGAAGGGACACATTCGATTCCTAAGAAATTTAGAAGAGAGCAGACGTGCTGGGCGCGATCAACAGAGTTAGGTGCTTGACTTTCTGGAACTCCTGATACAACTACTGAACGCATAATATCCGGATCAACTTCCGATGATCTTATGCCAGCATTTTG